AATTCGGGTTGCGACCAGAGTCATGGAATGGATTAAGTTCGTAACCCGAGGTACCACTGTACTTGTCTTCCTCTTGTGAATAGTCTGGGCTAAAAGAGGCCAAGCCGATGGCAAAACCTTTATCCAGGCTTTCTGAAAGAAGTAAGCCTATCAGCAAACTGAGGTGGACTTCATTTGGGAGTTATCCGATGGCTCTATTGCCTGACAATAGTTAAAAGGATGGGGGTACTGAAAGTAGAACACGTTTCAAAGCTATTCTCAAAATCAAAAGGTTAGTCAAAAAGTACAGAATGCACATTATATTTTAACACACACCTTCTGTCATTACTTTTCTGTGTCCAAGCACCATTTTGAAGATATGCTACTTTTACTGCTTCCTGTTACTACCTAAGCCCTAGATGGAATTCTTGATATCTTAAGAACTATCAGTTAAATGACTGAGTTTTGGCAATTATAATAAGCCAAAGGCTGCAAGGGTGTAATTAAAGTCAACTGTGTAGCGCTATCTCAGTAGACCAAAGGAACTGGTTTTGGACCTGCATCAGCCATGGAACTTACTTCGGCTTGCAAATGCTAGGTAATCTCATCAAATCCATAGTTACCTTTAAACAAGGTACACAAGATGTGGCATTTAGAACCAAGCAACACTCTGAAGCTGCTATCTGTTCTTGGAAAAGGGTGGTTATAGTGAGGTTTATGGTTACTCTGTAGTTAAAACATGACCTGCTGTATAAAAAGCAAAGCCAGCAGAGATGAGGCTGGGCTGTTTAATACTGTAAAATCTCTTTAAAGCCTTCAAGCAATACTGTATATATTGAGGACTGCTGTATTTTGAGGCGGGTGGGGGTGAAGGGAAGATTCTTTGTTCAGTAACTTGCAGGGCTACTTTAATGGGCAGAGGGGCAAGTCCTTCCAATAGGCAGCTCACTGTCTGAGCACCTGCTTTGCACTCAGATGGTCCTGGTTCTGTGGCTGTTCCAGGCAGAGGAAACAATACTGGGCTGGATGACTCTCTGTAAATGTGTGTGCATGTATACACGCACATAGCCTTAATGCTGTTTACCCCCAGGCCTCTGAGAGTCACAATTTCAAGGCAGATAATACCACTGAAAAGAGCCAAATTGGCCCAGAGAATGCTAGTTGCTACGTGTTAATTTTTTCCACGTGTAATTTTTTTTAAACACAAGGCTGTATATACCAGGATTTGAGATGTGCAAATTTAAGGTAAAAGTTTTTAAAGATTAAAAATGTGATTACCCTTTATGTGTTACTTCCATATTTATTTGAAGATAAAGTTTTTTAAGTGCTGAAACAATACAACACAAAAAATGCATGTGCGTGATTCAGTGTGAAAAAAAAAATCCATCCCTATTAACATTAATATTTTATTTACTGATGTCTGGGAGAGAGTATGTTATATTTGCATGGTTGTAGACTAGAGTTACTCCATGCAATCTTGGCCCTGCTTGAAATTTGACTTAACTTCTTTTAAATAATACTTACATATAGCTTGTTAGTATAAAAACCTTCTGTTCATTAGAGTAGAAAGGCACAATGTAAATCAAATATCTAAAATAAAAACTGCTTTGGTCTAAACTTTGCAAATGCTTTGGTTTAAAATTCACTTTGCTGTCCTCAAAAACCATCAGGTAGTTCACTGTAGAGGTTGGGCACCAGGCTAGAAACTGGGAGATTGTGAGTTCTGGTGTTGCCTTAGGCACAAAGCCAGCTGGGTGACCCTGGGCCAGTCCTTCTTCTTTCAGCCTAGGAAGGAGGCAAGGACAAACCACTTCTGAAATCTTGCCAAGAAAACTGCAGGGACCTTCTAGGCAGTCACCAGGAGTCAACACTGACTTAAAGACACCCCCCCCAAACAAATAACCTCATCATGATCTGCATACTACCACTTTTATATGCTTTTAGGATCAAGATGTGTATTAAAGATGCTAGCAGTAAGGTGACTTATGAGCCTCAGATTCAAGAGGAGATTGATATGGGTTTGCCTTCCTGTCCCTAGAATAAAACATTATTTCCTTAGGGTAGAAAGCAAAAGGGGCAAATAGCAGCATGGAATTCCTCATGACAATTGCTTTGAAACAAGCTATAAGAATGTCCCCAGTCTCCAAAATCTTCACTGTGAGGATTGTGGGAGCCCTTTGCATTGTTCCAAGAACAGTGTCTTCTTTTTAAAAAAGAAAAAAAAATAGAGATATCATTAGCCCTGGAAAGGAACAAAGCAAAATCTCTAGAAACAAACTGAAGCAGCAGCTAAAAGAACTGCTTATAGCCTCTGTTGAACTGCCCCCTACCAGTTGTGTTTTTAAAACCCATAGATTAGATAGCATCTTTAAAATAAATTAGGAGCGAATAATGCCATTAACAACAATTAATAATCTGTGGATGTCTGGAACTTGTAAAATCCACTCATTCTTTGACCGTTTGTGTGGATACACAGCACCTCTAGTAAATTATGCTCATTTAAAGACACTTGAGAGCCCATAAGGGTTGTTGCTAGAGACTCCTCTGCAGTCTTCGCATTTTTCACTTTATCTAAAAATTGTCATGGTAGTTACTTGATAAGCTTCTCTAGAAAGACACCAGTCAAATCCCTCCTTTACCATCATTGCTGTTATATCAATATGCGTTATCACCTTTTCACTTCCAGGCATCGCTGGAATTGCTTTTAGTCTATAGACTTAAGTAAGTGTTGTGTGGCAGGGCTATACTACAGAAGGTAAATATAAAGTATTCAAGATGCATTTTTTTCTTAAGTTACTCTAAAGCAGAGTGGATAGAAATAAGTAAGTTTTTTAAAAAATAAAAATGGATATTTAATTTAAATGGGATTTGTTTTATTTATGTAAATAAATAAAGAAATTTGCTTAACATTTTGTAAGAATATTATATAGCACAAAAATGTAATCCTGTTATACTTTAAATTACTTGCAAATATAGGTATGAGAGGTAACCCAAAAGATCTCTTTAAAAGTGCAAAAATACGAAAATCAATGAACAGAGAATTTGAGGTGATGGAGTAGTACTGCTTAAAATTTGGTGATTGATGATTCTAGTACATCCGAACAAAAAGATCTTTCAAACACCCACCACATATAATTCAGAGTTGGCTTTAGCCATATTCAGATTACACAACTACTAGAAGTAGGCCATATAATTCTTAACTGGCTTTATGAATTAACAAAATTGTCAGAGTTCACACTATATGCTATATCATAGCCAAATACACACATTGCGACTTAATGTGGTGTATGAACCCAGTCATGCAATAATATAAAAAAGCATAATAATATAATTTGAGACCATATTCCTCTCTTTCAAGCATAGTTAATTGCATGGAAAACTGAGGCAACTAACTACAAATTGTAAGTGCAGAAGAAGGGTGATGGATGGAGGAAGATCCACCTAACCTACATTTTTTTGCTTAATATTAATTCATTCCATGGAAGAGACAAACTGAGGCAAGCAATTTCAAGCTCACAGGTGCAAAACCCAAGGCTGGGAAATATGAACTGTATAAAAATGCTAATTTAACCCAGATTTTCCTATTCCTATCTCTAGCAGGAACCAGTTGCACAGATAAGACAAGTGACCATAAGATCATACTGTAATTGCAAAGTAAATTGAAGAGGGAGAGTGGAAGTAACGTCTGAGTTCACAAATGCATTCTAATTTACAGTTAATTACGCCACTTTATTTTGTGAATCAGTATATTTGCTGGCTTTGCAAACTACACAGAATCATCACCTAACTGCTCTGGTTGGATTTGCAAATAAACTGAGCCAGTAAATTAGCTAACAATATTTTAGCTTAACATGTTGTGTGAACCCAGACAATGAGCAGCTGAGAATTCCTGAGACCTGTACCGTGTACCTCACAATCACTTCTACTTCTCTGGATTAACCAGCTAAAAAAAATAAAATTTGAGTAAAAAGAATTAAAAAATTCAGCAAAGTATTGGATTTTCCATTACCTACCTGGTGATAGCTTACATACCTCTAGGCTTCTATTGTTCACTTTCACTAAAATGAAAATAAACATTAAAATAATGATTACCTCCCAGGGCCCCAACACTTACACACAAACGTAAACAAATTTAGTAGTCAACCTTCTGGCCTCTGGTACACTTTCTGGTGTCTCTGCGGGTCAAGCAGTGACCAAGAGAATAAAACCACAAATAATTAATTGACTCTGTTCATCTTGAATGCCCCATTTAGAAAGAAATACCTAAGTCCAAATTGACTCTGGGGAACTAATGAGCAAATTTGCTCTGTTTCCTACAACCTAGGTGGTGATTATAAGTTTGATAGTTCCTTAGCCCAGAAAAAAAGGAGAAGAAAGACAAGGAAGCATTTTAAGCCATGCCCAGACATGGAAGGTCAGGAGGTTTAAGATCACTCCATAGTAAATGTTTATGCTTCTCTGGGGAAAGAGAATGAAAGTAGCAAGCGCTCTATAGAAGAAATCACCTTTGTGGACAAGAATGGAGCTGGCCCTGAAGGGAAATTGTTTGCCCTGAAAGAGGGCCAAAATGGAGAAAGGATTAAAAATTGCATGTAAGGGTTGAAGTTGGTCAGGTGGAGGCCCTTGAGTCTCATGCCAGAGAAAGCTGTTTTGGAAACAAGAGATGTATGACAGAGAGCTTCAAGGCTGAAGAAGAACTATCAGAAGTCTATTGGTAAAGCAGGAAGAAAAAGCCAAGGATTTTAACCTTAAGATTGACATACATATTTATATACAAAAGCAGACATATGCAGAATTTCATATTTTCAGTTTCCTGATTCCCTGCAATTAAAGCTACTTACCTAACTTCTTGTGTCTACTTGGGAATGAAGAGCTGAGAGAGAGGATCATGTTTCCTGGTAAGAAGCACTGACATTAATGATAGAACTTCTAAAAATGCAGAGGGTTAGAAACTGAGATTGTATAATCTGCGGATATTTTAATGCTAAAGGATATTAACAGTACAGTCCATTTATTTGATTTATTTATGTCTTATGTTCAGAAGCTTAAGAAGGTATATATAATATGTAGACTTAGTGTCAGATTTCGACAAATTGAAATTGCCTGCATATGTTGGTATTCCATGATGAAAGTTGTAAGTATTTGGGACTTTCGGTGTACTGGAAACAATATTCACTTTGCAATTAAACTTTCCTTAATCTAAGGCTTGGTTTATTTTTAACTTAATTTATTTTTATTCAAAGGTCAAACAACATCAACTTCAAGATGCTCCAAAATTCCAAATACAAAATCTGGTTGGTCAAGGCAAAAGGAGAAGAAACCCTCAGAGGTTTGTTGAACTTTATATTTTCTTAGACCATCTTCCTGGCATTTTTCATAACTATTCAGTTATGAACTGTACTCTAACAATCGTACTCTAACAATCGTACTCTAACAATAGTTAGAGTTGGGTGGGTAGGTGCAGAACAAAGAAAGTAAGTAGGGAAAAATAAATTTAATTCAATTTAAATTAAATTAAATTGAATATAATTAAAATGATTAATCACATGCCTGTTTTCCCCTTATGTCATTTTAAAAATTACACATATGGGTTTGCAGTCTCAGGTTTGGACTCCAGCCTTTGAACTTTCTTCCTCAACCTGGTATCCTTGTGTTAGACTTCAATTCCTGTAAGCCCTAGCTAGTGTAAGGAATGGTGGCTAGGGCCTTTTTCCTCTCCAATTAGCCACTAAGGAGAAAACTAGATCTGGCACAAGGAATTGCAGACTTTATGAGCTGAGCTATAACTTACTGGTCTGTCTGGTTGAGCAGTATCTTTTACTTGCTGGCTTCCTGTGAACTCTTGATCCATTTAAATTTCATATAGCTTGTTCTGGATTCAAGAGAAGGACTTCTCAAAACATGAGCCGCTACAGGCATTCATTCAGTATTATGGGTATTCTGGTTCAGAATTTGCCACAGCAATTGTGACAGCATTTTAATTATTTGAAGAAAAACTTTGGTACATTGGACTGGTTATGAGCGATCAGAAGACTTCTAGGTGGAAGAAATGGATGTCTACAGAAAATCTTGTGGATTGTCATTTATAGTACTTTATGTAGAGGTCTTTAAAATGTATGTGAGGGAACTGACATCATAGAAGAAGCTGTCACAGCATTCCTTATGTCTCCCAGCTCCATTCACCATTTGACTACAGTATCTTGATTAGCATTCTTTACAGACCCCAGTTTAGAGCTATTCTGCACCTTCACCACAAAACACTTGGTATATGTGTCTGAGTAGCACCAATTTAGCCTTCCCCTGTATTTTATTAGTTTACATTAAAATTTACCCAGCTGCCGTTTTGAAGTAAACTTGAGTCTGTTCTCAAAGCAGAATGCAACAGTGACAATTCAAGATTCCACCTAAATTTTGAGATGAAAATTTGGAAAGGAAACTTCTGTCTTCTGAAACTATATAAGGAATAGGAAGTGGGGAAGATTATAGTGAAGGACTGTGTGTGGTTGCTGTCCTCTACAAGCTGTGAAATCATCTCTAGATGCACAAATGTGTAATGCTGGCCCAAGATATTTGGTTGCCTGAAGTAGATCTCAAATGCCTCCTTGCCTTCTCAGATTGGAGGCATTTTCAGAAGTATTGTTGCATCATTAAAGCAATAGCAGCTGACATAATTTCAGCCTTCTAAAAAACGAGTTTGGTGTCATTTCTTTTATGGTATCTGCCCATTCTGACAGTCAGCATGTTTCAGGTCCTATTTATCCAACAACAACAATGATAATTTATTAAACTTGTATTCTGCCCAACTCGCAATGACTCTGGGCTGTTCACAACAGTCAAACAAATTACAATAAAATATGAAGATAAAAGATGGCAAGCGTGGTGAAGCGAGGGGTCTTACTCTCCGTTGCTAAAGGCCTGGATGAAGAGCCAGGTCTTCATGGCTCTAGTAAACAACAGCAGAGTAGGGGACATCTGGATCTCAGAGGGAGCCTTGTTCCAAAGGGCAGGCACTGCTACAGAAAAGGTGTGTTTCCAGGGTCCCAGTTCACACATTGAAAAATATAATCCAGTGATCTAAGGCAGCCCTCTCCAACCATGTGTCTTACTGGAGGCATAGACTGGGAAAGATTGGTCTAAGGGCAGTTTTACTCATTACTGCAACATATCATGAACCTTTTAAAAAGAAAAGTGTCTTTGAGACTAGGCACTGAATATCTAAATACACACCAAATCTGCATATTGGTGATAATTTCAGAAATAGGCTGATATTGAAAAGGAATCTGCTATCTGCCACACTTTGGTTAAGGGGTTTATGACATAATGAATGCATGTCAAAGCTAGCTGCAGTAAATAAAGTGAGAAAATGAATGTTTCAACCTGAGCTCAGCAGTTATGCTCTGTCCTGTTCCTGTCATGAGCAGCTCATTTCAAAAGGATGGTTAGTTGTGTGCATTTCTGCAGGCTTCTAGCAAGCATCCAGCACAAGACTCCAGGGAGATGAGATGAATCAGTCATTGCAAGCTGAAGGAGAAAGAGTTTGGCTCTCTTAAACTACTTCTCAAGGTTGGGCAGCTGTTCCCTTTGGTCATCTGAAGTGTCATCCTCTATGTCTCTGGGAAATACTGTTTCTTGGAATCACGTTTCGGAAACTTCAGAGTCTGAAAAGATACAACTCTTGCTATTCCTTACTAATGCAAGCTGAGGACTTTTATTTTGTAGTTCGTGGAAAGAGCTGGCTCTTCACGCTCAACCAGAAAAAAGGATACTTTAAATGCATTTATTTATTTAGACAGACAGACAGACAGACAGAGGTACCTCTAGTTACGAACGCCCTTCCTTACGAATTTTTCGAGATACGACCAGCTCCGGCCCCAAAAATTTACCTTGTGTTGCGAACCACCTCGAGTTACGAACCGGACCCGCGGCCATTTTCCCTCCCGTGACACGTGGTCCGTGGCCATTTTCCGCCCGTTCCACGTGGTCCGCGGCTGTTTTTCTCCCGTTCCACGTGGTCCGCAACCATTTTTCCACCCCTG